GACATTCTTAATAAAACCGCTTTATTACTTTTCTCAATTTCGATACCGAATTTGTAAAATTTCCATTAATTTTTGTCGGTCTCAAAATTTCATGGCAACTCTTTAACTTTAAATGCAAATATGTTAATATATGAATAAAAGGACATTCTTAATAATTTCTCATTTTCGATACCGAATTTATAAAATTCCTACCGATTTTTGACGATCACTGTATCTAAAAATTTCAAAGAATTTCTTTAACGTTAAATGCAAATATGTTAAAATTTCTCTCCATTTGACCTCCTTTATCCATACTTCTTTCTATTTTGGTTTCAATGACCCAATTTCTCCCTGAATTCTAAAAATATCACCATAACTTCTTAGCAAATATGTTATTATATGAATAGAAGGACATTCTTAATAAATCCGCTATACTGCTATTCTTAATTTCGATACCGAATTTGTAAAATATCCATTAATTTTTGTCGATCTCTGTATCTCAAAATTTCATAGAAATTCTTTAACTTTAAATGCAAATATGTTAAAAATTCTCTCCATTTGACCTCCTTTATCCACACCTCTTTCTATTTTGGTTTCAATGACCCAATTTCTCCTTGAATTCTAAAAATATTACCATAACTTCTTATCACGTACCATAATAAATAAATTTATTTATTTTTTCGTTTCTCCAAAATAACGATGATGGACAACGATGACATTGACATTCCATGGAAATAATTTGCAAAGGGAAAATTTATTACATTCATCGAATATTTATTTGAAGCTAATCAATAATCTATCATATTTTTGGCAGCAACGTGCGCTTCAAAATAAAATTAAAAAAAAAATATGCCATGCTCTTGAAAAAAAAAATCATATATTTGGCCGTAAGATAGATATGTCGCAAAGCATATCAATGGCAAAAATTCCAACTAAACGTGTTGTTAATAAAAAAACAAAAAAAAAAAAAATTAAATAAAAATAAATAGAAAATATTCCAGAGATAAGTGAGCTCAAAAGTCCTACGCAATGATAATTGACTAGGCGTTTACACAGTTGATGATTTTTTTTAAATCAATCAAAAGATACACAACTTTTGAAATTGGAATGACAGTTACTGTGGGAATTCTATTCCACGCGATTTGTTGCCACTTGAAATTTGCTTTCTACTTACCATTCTATGGTGGCATTGACGTTGTTATGGTCATAAATATTGATAGGTATTTGCTAAAAAGCAAATCTATTCATAAATTTATTTCAAATAAAATCGGTTTAAAAATATAATAAATATATCAGTAGGCAAAAAAATAAAAAAAGAAAAAAAAAAAAAAACACGCACAAACAATAATAACAATATTATTGTTATTATTCTTATTGTTATTAATATTGAAAATAACACCGGCCAAGAACAAACAACAATTTGTACATATGTTATAGCTCTTCATGATAAAGAGCCCATTAAAATTTTTTATATTTTTTCTGATAAAATTCCAACGACAATGAATACACAAACACATGGATTGGCCAGACGTCGACGACGGCAAAACGAACTGCAATTGACACCAGCAGACGCCCCATATCCAACCAACCACCGCCCGCCATCTATTGCGTGGTGTATAAAAATACCAGAAGCCATGCGTTTTATTTTGAACTTTCCTCTTTCGAAAATAAAATGGTGGACCTACCTAATTCCTTGGGGTATTTAGATTTTGTTATTTTTGGAATCGCATTGCCTAAAATTATAATTGAAACTCAATAATAGAGCAGAGCGCAAAAAAAGTAATCAATTACATTAATGTTGCCTAATATTTAAGCCTTTCGTCCATTACGGGGTAAAGCTGGTTAAGCAGGGGCCAAAACCCCTGGGGTACATTTGTTCGGGCAGAACCCAAAGGGTCTGGCATGGAAATTTACTTATTTTGGAGAAGTGCACGTGGAGAAGATGATTAATTAAATGAAATGACAACCTAACCAAAAATGTGGAAATTTTAAGGCAAAATCGAAGGGGGATTGTGGCTCAAGGTCCCAGATATCGTGGCATATGATATAAAAAAAAGAGTTATGGACCTCACTGGAAATGTCTTTCTAAAGTATCAAAGCAGAGCGAATTTTTAACTCTTTGAAAATTATCCTCTAAGAGAGCGAGAGCCTTTGGCAAATCCAAGACTTTATCAGGTTTGACTACTCCTTCCGGATCAAAAAAAAAAAAATTGTGTTCGACGGCAAATTCAGAATATGATCTCGGATCTGTCTTCAAATATATTTTTGGAGTTCTTCAATCGGTTCAAATAATTAATTTTGCCAATTAATTAATCTTAGAAATTTAAAAATATTAAAAAAATGTCCAAAAAATCATCGATTCTGTCATGATGTACAGGAAGAGAAAACTCTTTATCAGCAGCGCCCAAACATTTCTAATTAAACTCCAAGGGGAATGCAACGGATAGCCCCCGCGGAATTGAAAAATTTAGTTGTTCAGGCGTTTACAGGCTCTTATAGGAACATGTTGGATCTTTCAACAAGATTCCAGATTGGCTACTATAGAAAACCCAGATCTCAACGTAATCAGTCATGTGCGGGAGACTCTACAGCGGACGATCAGCGAACATTACATTGCCGGTGCCCAAGCTATTTAAAAACAAACTCCAAGTGGAATGATGACAGATAGCCGCTATGGAATTGGAAAAATTTTGTTGGCCAGGCGATTACGGGCTATTATAGGTACATATGGTGGACCTGAACTAAAACTGCATGGAAGTTGGATCTTTCAACAAGATAACGACCCAAACTATACAAAATCCAGATCTTAACGAAATCGGCCATGTGTGGGAGACTCGACAGCGGAGGATCAGAAAACATTACATCGCCGGCGCCCAATCAATTTAAAATCAAACTCCAAGTGAAATGGCAACAAAGAACACCTAAGGAAGTGAAATATTTCGTTGTCCATCTAAATTTTAAATGGGCTTAAAATTCAATCGGGTTTACTGAGCTATTATAGGTTTAATTTATAGGAGTATTTTGACTTCCGTCAAAGATCAGTTTTAACATTGAAATTTTATTTTTTTTTCTGGTTGTATGAATAAAAGGACATTCTTTTTAAAACTGCGGTATTAATTTCCTTAGTTTCGAAACAGAAATTCCAATTGATTTTTGTCGAACAAAAAAGATGGATCTTCAATTCTGTCTACTTGTAATTCGAAATGCCTAGCCAAGGTATCATACCGCCTTTATATCTTCCAGAGGTATATTACCGTCTTTGAGCATTATTCTCAAAGCGAGGTCAGCTGATAGATCCTGGATAAAATGAGGTTGAAACGATGATTCAAAAATTCTTCTGGCTTTTAAGGAATCTTCGTTTGAATTTTAGGATTCAATGCCCTCCACCTCAAATATGGATGAATCAACGATTTTCTTCATTTGTAATTTGAAATATCTCTTTAGAATGTCATACCACCTATCCTTCCCAGTCTTCCAGAAGTGGTTTTTGCACTCTTTGGCCTTTTGTCCAAAAACGAGAGCTGCCGTGAGATCCTAGGATATTATCATGTTGGACCATTGATTCCTGTTCCAAGAAAGGAGACATGTTTTTTCTTTATAATTTTAAAATACTATTTGCAGTATCTCTCTAGAATTTCATACCGCCTCCCCTTCTCAATCTTCCAGAGGTAATTTTTTCACTATTTGATCGGTTGTCTTAAAACGAGAGCTGCCGAGTGATCCTAGGATATTATCACGTTGGACCGTTGATTCCAGCTCCAATAAAGAAGGCATGATTTTTCTTTACAAATTCGAAATATTCTGCAAATAATCTCTCTAGAATGTCATACCGCCTCTCCTTCCCAATCTTCCGTAGGTGATTTTCTCACTCTTTGCCTGTTTTGTCTACAAACTACAACAGAGATCCTGGAATATTATCAAGTTTAACCATTGATTCCTGTGATTCCTGAAGGGAGACATGGTTTTTCTTTACAAATTTTAAATATTATTTGTAGTATCTCTCTAAAATAAGGTACCAGCTTACCTTCCCAATCTTCTAGAGGTGACTTGTTCACTTTTTGGCCATTTGTCTATAAACGAGAGCTGCCGAGAGATCCTGGGATATTATCCAGTTGAACCATTGATTCCTGTTCCAAGAAAGGATACACTCTTTACAAATTTGAAATATTTATAGTATCTCTCTAAAATATCATACCGCCTTCCATTCCCAATCTTCCCTAGGTGATTTTTTCACTCTTTGATCGGTTGTCTTAAAATGAGAGCTGCCGGGAGATCCTGGAATATTATCAAGTTTAACCATTGATTCCTGTTCTATGAAAGTAGACATGGTTTTTCATTACAAATTCGAAATATTATTTGTAGTATCTCTCTAAAATATCGTACCGCCTCCCATTCCCAATCTTTCGGAGGTAATTTTTTTCACTCTTTGGCTGTTTGTCTAAAAATCAGAGCTGCTGAGAGATTCTGGGATATTATCAAGTTGAACCATTGATTCCTGGTCCAAGAAAGAAAGCATGGTTTTTCTTTAAAAATTCGAAATATTATTTGTAGTATCTCTTTAAAATAAGGTACCAGCTCCCCTTCCTAATCTTCCAAAGGTGATTTTCTTATACTTAGCTCGGTGGTATAAAAAGGAGACTTGCTGAGAGATCCTGGGATATTATCAAGTTGAACCATGGATTCCTCCTCCAAAAATTCTTAATTTTTCCTCACAAATTCGAAATATTATTTGCATTATCTCTCTAAAATAAGGTACCAGCTCCACTTCCCAAGCTTCTAGAGGTGATTTGTTCACTTGTTGATCGTTTGTATACAAACGAGAGCTGTCGAGAGATCCTAGGATATTATCAAGCTTAACCATTGATTCCTGTTACAAATAAACACGTTTGGTTTATTCACAAATTCAAAATATTTTTAATGGCATTTCTTTTGGATGTGTTTACAATAAAAAAACTCTTAAATCTTTTTTTTATAAAAATTAGTAATTATTAAAAAAAATATATTTTTATTTTTTTTTACAGAATTCTTCACAATGGAAAGTGTTACCGACGCCTTAAGCGATACATTCCGAATTGCTTTATACGTAAAAGAAGTAGGGCGTTATTTGTGCTTTCGCAAAGGAAAACTAGTTGGAATGGTAAGTCTTAATATTTGAGATACCTATTTTTCTTAAAATACAGAGGATAGGACAAAAATTACTCAATATTTTAGCGGAGCATATGTCATGATATTCCTGAGAATTAGGGAAGCCCCAATTCAAAGCTCTCAAAATTGTAATTTCAAAGATGAATGTAGACTTTTCTCAAGATGAGTTTTTGAATAATTCGCAATATTCTCGGAATATTTTGAAGCCCTTGAGGCTATATTTCACTCAAATCAAAAGTCAAACATAAAGCTATTAATGAAAGAAAATCTCATGGAATTGATTCTCTAAATTCCCAGATATATCCGAAAGAAAAGGTTAATAAAACAGACACTGCCCCGCATTCTTACCCAGTTCAATCTGATCTGATCAATCTCTCACAAACGGCCGAGAATTCCTAGATTCTCAAGATAGATATAGTCTTTTCTCAGGATGAAGTTTTGAATAATTCCCTAGATCCCCAGAATAGTTTGAAGCCTAAAAATGTTCCAGCGAAATTGATGACCAAACATAAAGTGTTTTATAAGAGAAGCTTTCATGAAATTGAGTGTCCAAATTCTCAGATTTATCCCATTAAAAACGGAAAATGTCGTATCCCAACCCAGTTCAATCTTATCTGGTCACTCTCACCCAAAATGGAACCTGAATCAAAACTCACGAAGTCGTTTTGCCATGTTAGGAGATTTAAATATTCTTCTAGAACCTTTAGATCCATGCCATGTTTAGGAGATATTAATATCTTCTCGAACCTTCAGTTCGGAGTGTTATTACTTCTCATTTTATTAATTCCTCCTCTCACCTCTTACCTCTCTTTTCTCTCTCTCCTTGCAGAAACACCTTGTGCCCGATTGTCATTTCATCGAAAAAATGGATCATGGCTATTTCCTGTATGCTAATGCCTACAAACCGGAGTGGCGGGTTGGCTTTACGCGCGGCCTTAAGCCGGTCGGCCCACGGCACCTGCAACGTCCACAAACTATGCGTAGAGCTTGCTTTCTATTTGTTAAAATTAATGCTGAGCATTTTGATCGGGATATGTTTACTACAACAACTACCACTACAACAACAACCACAATGTCTCCCTTGAAAAAATTGATTGAATCAAGGGATCAACACAGTATACGTGACTATGGTTTGGAGGAGTACGAAAGACGTCTGAACTCGAGTCGGGGCAGAAATTATAGAAATCATAGCCGAATGGAGCCGGAAAGAAGAAGAGGTTCCACGGGTGGTGGAGGAGGCGGCGGCGTCGGTCATAGGCATAGGTCGCCAGAGACCCGGCATAGAAATGTTTCAAACACACCGCAGCCAAAAAACTTGAGACGACCTCAGCCCACACAAAAGGCTGGGGAGGAACGCAGAAAAAAAACTCAACGAGAAAACGTACGACGGGTGCACACAAATGGCCAAAGAAAGCGTAAGCAAGTCGATTCACATTACGATCACAGTGACCTGCCACCAAACTCACAAAGTAGCCGAGCCGGTGGCGGTACCAGCAGCAGCAGTAGTTCGGCATCTTCTACAGCCTCGGTGACGGCCACATCACTGGCCGCCACAGTAAGCTTGGCGCCCTCGGCCCTCAATCTGGTGGCCATGTTGGCGGCCAGTCGCCGCAAAAGGGTTAAACGAAAGAAGCTGGAAGAGGAGCAGGAGCAGGATGAGAGCGAAACACAGGCAAGCGGAGGCAATGCTGAAAAGCAAAGATCGGCAAATAGTGATTTACAGTTGGTAGCACATGATGACGGCCATGAGTCGGAACAACTGTACGATTTGCCGGCAAAGAAAGCCCGTAAGAGCCAGACGCCACATGACCATAGTTACCATCAAAAATCCAGCTATGCGGAGCAAATGCCGGTAGCAACAACACCTGAACATTTTGTACAGCAGCCACAAAACCATAAATACTCAAATAGCAATGCTAAGAAATTCCATAGTCATAAACGTAGTAATAATAGCCATCATAGTCGAAATAGCCATAGACAACAACAACTGCAAGAAGAAGGTGAAGAACGAGACGAAGAAGAAGAAGAAGAAGCAGAAAACCCTAGCCATAGTCTTAGTAGTAGTGGTAACAATAATAAGAATAATTATTTAAACGAAAATCTATCAAAGCTAACGAAATTAAAAACGAATACGAATATAAATCTTAATTTAAATACTAATATTAATAATAATACTAATAATTTAAATGCTAATGCAATATTACCTGCCTTGCCAAAAAACTTCAATAATACGGATAAGCAAAACAGCCACAATAATCAAGCAAAACAATATTTAAATTTAATGACTGATTTTAAGCAATTAAAAACACCCACACCTGCATTAAATGTTTCTCAGCAACCACAACACCAACAACACCATCGCCGTCAGCACCATAACAATAACGGCGTCAAGCATTCCTTAAGGCGTCATCGCCATAAAAGAGATTTGGGGTTTAGTTTACCTCAACTCTCAGCAACTAGTCAAATGACGAGGCCACAACCACGAAGCAATGCCGATGAGTTGAGAGGCCTTGTAAACAAAGAAAACGAACTCCCAACATTTCATCGGAGAAGTAGTGATGTGGAGAGTTTGGATAACAGCAAGAGAGTTGAGTATGAGGAGGAGCATAATTATGAGCACGATGATGCCGATGAAAACGGTGGTGACACTATCAATAAATCCAATAGACTTTTAGATAATAATAACAACAACCATAAACATTTAAGTGAGGACAATAATTTTCTTCAGCAGCAACAGCAAAGGCCACAGCCTTCAGGGTTGCCATTTAATCGCTTAAAATACCCAAATAATGTTAATCGAATAAGTTCAGATGATGATGATGATGATGACGACGACGTCGATGTTAGTTCTATGAAATTGCAAAAACAAAACATTCCAAATGAGCATAACATTGCCAGTCATTATTTAGAGTCTGATGCTAACTATAATCCTATGAAAATCAGGTATAATAAGGCCAATTATTTAAACGCAGCAGCAACAACAACAACTAAAAATAATAATATTAATATTACTAATAATGTTAACAAGCCTAATGCAAGTTTTAGCGGTGTTTTCTCTCAACTAAATGACATTAATAATAACTATATGAGACACCAGAGCCGCAGCCGCAGCAGCAGTAGTAGTAGTAGTGGCAGTAGTGTTAGTGCCGTCAAAAAGACAAATGTTAATAACAATATTACCCGGCATAATGTTATAATAATTAGTAATGTTTTAAATAATGATGACATTGATGTTAGTGGCAGTGGTGCAGCTGCAACTGCAACAGCTTTTCAAACCAGATTTGTGCTTGGCCAAAAAAATATGTATAGACAGCTTCAGCAGCAAAAAACACAACAACAAGTTATTGATAATAAATTTATAACTAACACTAATTTAAAAAATAATAATAATAATATTAATGTTCATTATATTTATAATCATAATGAAAAGAAGACGAAGCAAAATGATGTCAATGATGATGATGATGATGTTTATGAAAATTTCATAAAAACTGAAAATAAATATGAAAAAATTATAGTACAATACAGATCTGTAGTTCAAATTATTTAAAGAAAAAATGAAAATTGGGCAACATTTTTTTTTTTTGGAGGGGGAGGGGTGGGAAATGGATAGGGGAAAATGGCAAGGGGAAAAAGGGGGAAAATAAAGCTTATGTGGAGCTCAAACATAAGGCAATGGAAAAAATAAAACCTTGAGGGGAGCTGAAGCATCGGAAAATGGAAAAAAAATTATGTATTGGCGCCCAAGCATATGAATATGGGGAAATTGAAATCTTAAGTGGCGCCCAATTGAATATATATGAGTAAGTACAAAGACAAATCTTTTTTTTTAAACTTTAAGTGGCGCCCAAGCAGAGACAAAGTGTCAAGCTGCACCCAAGCATAAAAATCTAGAGAAAATAAAATCTTAAGTGGCGCCAAAGCATATGAATGTTAAGATATTAAAAATGGCGCCCAAGAAATAGGGCAATGGATAAAACTTTAAGGAGCGCCCAAACATGAGAAAGTGGCGCCCCAGCGTTGGACAACGGAATCTTGGAAGTTGAAAAGTGGTGGTAAGTCAGAAAATGTTAAAAACTGGTTCGAAAAACGGAATTTTGACTAAAAAACGGGGGAAATGAAAAGTGGCGCCCAATTGAGGTAGGGAATGCATTTTTTATGAAAATTGTTTAAAAAAATTTAATAAATAAAAAAAATATAGTACAAAGTCAAATTTGTTTTTGTGGGAAATCTAAGGCCGTGGTGCAAATAAAGCTTAAATTGGCGCCCAAGGAGAAAAAAAATCTCAAGCGTCGCCCAAGCATAGAAAACTGGCGAAAATAAAATCTTAGGAGGCGCCCAAGCATTGGACAATGAAAAAATAAATTATAAAATGGCGCCCAAGCATAAAATGATGGGATTTTAAGACTGATAGTAATATGAAAATATTAGAAGAATGGAAATTTGGCTAAAAAAATGACGGAAAATAAAAAGTGGCGTCCAATTGAGTGGGGGAATGCATTTTTTTATGAAAATTTCATAACAAAAATTGAATAAATAAGAAAGTACAAAGACAAATATTTTAATGCGAAATAGAAGACAATGTTGCACATACAACTTAAAGTGGCACCCAAGGAGAAATAAAATCTCATCGCCTAAGCATAAAAAACTGGAGAAAATAATATTTTATTAGTGATCTAGAAAATGTTAGAAACGGGGCAGACGAATGGAAATGTCGGCAAATAAAAAGTTGCACCCAATCGTATTTTTTTGGGAAAATGGTAAAAAAACTGTAGGTGTTGTCCAAGCACAGGAAAATGGAGAAAATAGAACTTTAAGTGGCGTCAAGCGTTGGACAATGGAAAAAATAAATTATAAAGTGGCGTCCAACATAAAACGATGGGATTTTGAAAATACAAGACTGGTAGTGAGTCAGAAAATGTTAGAAATTAGTCAGAAGAATGGAAATTTGACAGAAATAAAAGTGGCGCCCAATTGTGGCTAGTTATGATTTTTTTATGTAAATTTTACAAAAAAAAAAAAAAAAATTGAAAAAATACAGTAAAGAAGTTTTTAAGGTTTAAATTATTTAAAAAATGTGAATGCGTAGTTTATTGGAGGGAAAATGAAAGAGAAATTTGGAGATATAAAAGTAAAAAGCAAAATAAGGGATAATGTGGCGCCCAAGCCAAATGCAGAAAACAAAATCGTATGTTGCGACTAAAAACAAGGAAATTGAGAAATAAAACCATAAGCGGTGCCCAAGCATCGGTCAATGTAAAAAGCCAAATTATAAAGTGGCGCCCGAGCATAAAACGATAGATTTTTTTGGAGAACATAAAATCTAAGTTGGCGCCCAATTTCAAAACTGCGGCGAGCTAAAAAAAAATTTAGGGTCGAAAAATTGAAATTTTCAAAAATAATGTCGGGAAATAAAAAATGGCGCCCAATTGAGGGAGGCAATGGGGTTGTTTATGAAAATTTCATAAATAATGGATATAAATATGAAGATATATAATACAAAGACAAATCTGTAGTTGAAATGATTTGAGGGAAATATTGAACATTTATGTTGGGGAGTGGAGGAGGTAAGTGGCTATAGGGGACACAAAAGTATACAACGGAGATCAGCACAGAATCTTGGGGAAAATAATTTATTAGTTGGCGCAATAGCTAAGGAGAATGGAAAAATAAAATCCTGGGTGGTGCCCAAGCATAGGCTAATTGTATTTCAAAACGGTGGCGAGCTAGAAAATGTTTTAGATTGAAATCAAAAATGGAAAAGATTATCGGGAAATAAAAAGTGGCGCCCAATTGAGGGTGGCAATGATGAAAATTTCATAGAAAAATACAAATAAATATAAAAAAGTTAAGAGTACAAAGACAAATCTGTAGTTCAAATGATTTGAAGAGAAAATGGAAATGGGAGCGTTTTTTGTAGAGTGGAAGAGGTAAGTGTAAGTGTAAGAAAATAGAACTATAAGGTGGCGCCCAAGCACGTAAACATGGAGAAAATAAATTATAAATTCGCGCCTTAGTATCGCATGAAATATTAAGTGGCGCCCAAGCAGAGAATAATTGAACCTTAAGCGGCGAACAAGGAAGAACTAGAAATTAAGTAGAAAAAACGAAAGGCAATAAGTTTTTTTTTTTAAGAAAATGTCAATAAAAAGGGAACTAAATAAAAAGAAGAAAAAATTATAGAACAAAAATGGAAAAAATATGTAGTAATTGGGAAATAAAACTGAAAGCGGCGCCCAAGCATAGGACAATGGGGAAATGAAACCTTAAGCGTCTCTAAAGCACAGAAAAACGGAGAAAATTAAATCTAAATAGAGATGTTCAAAACTAACAAAAACGCGTTAGAAATCGGACAGGCAAATGGAAATTTGAATGAAACTATGAGGAGAAATGGAAAGTGGTACCCAATTTAGGGTGGCAATCAGTTTGACCAACTGTGGGATAAGAAGAATATTGACAAGTAAAAAAACGGTAAGTTCGACCGGGCCGAAATTTGAATACCCTCCAACATTTGGTACGAATTTGCCATTTAAAAAAAAAATTAATAAATAAATAAAAATAAACACCCCCTGGTAAACATTACCATCGTTCTCCACTAATAAACAAACGTTGTTTTTATAAAAAACAACAATAAAGGGATAAAGCCTGACCATTTTGCAACAACAAAAAATAAGATTCTTAAAAATACCGAATGCAGCCGTTATATTAGGGTCTATACTACGACGTGGACCTTCATAGGCAACTTTTGTCATAAGTCATTACAATATTCAAATGCGAAACTTGAAAAATTAACATGCACGGACAATTTTCTGTCTCAGGATGTAGTATCCATTACGAACTTCAAAAACCGAATTCGAAACATTTCCGGTAAATAATATCGTTTAAAATTATCAAAATACCGAAAATAGGAAGGTACCATTATATGGGGGCTGTACGAACACCGAAATTTGGCGCCAAATCGTGGGTTGTAACGAGTTTGGCTTGTACCGTGGGTATTGAGAAAATATAGCGGGGAGTATTATCGGAAGAAAAAAAGGTGAGATCAAATGTCTAAAGTGTCGCCTGATATTGGTATGGTAAAGGCAAAAAAATGGTATCATAAAAATAAAGTGGCGCCCAATGAAAGGTTGTAATGAGTTTGGCTTGTATCTGGCACTGCAAATCATGGGATGGGATAAATTATAGAAAATATTCCACAATTATGAAGAAGATGAAGAAATTAGGCAGCAAAATATGTTCACGCACATATATAGGAAACATTTGAAACTGGCGCCCAATCAAGTGTTGAAACATTAAAGGTAACTACGCCCAATAAAATGCTTGTCAACGCCTTGACAAAGAAATTATCTTCAAACCAGAGTGGGAAGAATTATGAACAGAAAATTGGCCGAATACAACAAACTGGCGCCCAATGGAGGGCTGTAATGAGTCTCAGGCAGTGCCAACAATGAGAAACACAATTATTGAGGAAAAAGGCGTCCGTCAAAGGGATATCGAAAGAAAAGATGAGTTGTAATGGAAAAATTAAACCTGAAATGGCGCCCAAGCATGGGACGATGACAGCTTGGACAGTTACCAAAAATGACAGAAGTCAAAAGAAATTAGGCAAATTAGGCAAATAAAAATAAAATTATTGATGAAAAAACGGGGCGAACTCTAGAAAATGAAGCCCAATGAAGGGAGGCAATAAGTTTGGCTTGTAGCAGGGCTTGCCAACCATGTGAAATTGGAAATGTTGATCAATAATAGGACTTTTAAAAAATTTTATAGCGTCATAATGTTGAAAGAAGAGTACAAAGTATTACGAAAATGGTAAGTTATAATAGGATAATTAAATCTAAAGTGGCGCCCAATCACAAGACAGTTAACAAAAATGACACAAGGCAGAAAAAATAATTTTCATGAAAAAATGGGGCGAACATCTGAAAGTACCGCCCAATGGAGGCTTGTAATGAGTTTAGCTTACATCATGCGTTGCCAACTTTGCGAAATTGGGAGCATTTTGGAAAATGGCGCCCAATTATGGCAAAAAAGCCAAGTTTGCAAAAAAATGGGCGAAGACTAGAAAGTGGCGCGCAAATGGGGGTTTAAATGAGTTTTTCTTGTTACAGGCATTTCCAATCACGGGAAATGGGAAATATTGTAAACAATGGCGTCCAATAACGATATGTTACCTAAATTTAAAGTCCCAAATGAAATCTTGAAGGAACTTAGGATGCAACGACTGCTCTCCTTTGCAAATGATTGCAATTCTGTCAGTAAATGAAGACATCCTCAAAAAAATCAGCAACATTGGCCGACGAGCTATCCCATGTTCTCCCATCAGCTACTCATTTAACAGGAATAGAGAGAGAGGATAGATCCTCTCCGATAAGATTCTTCCAATAAATGTTTTCTATTTCTTTAATATGATCTTTTTTCTTTGTTGAAAATATGTTTGACTTTCAAATGATCTTCTATTTTCACAGAATATATCCAGCCTACGTGACTTTCACTTTTGAAGATAAAGGTAACAAAAAATTCGATAATCATCGCGTGCAATGACTTTAT